ATCTATCCATCTATCTATCTATGCATGTGATTTATTTGAAGCTGTCTCCCGATGCAACTTCTGTACTATAAGGACGACATCTTGCACAAATGTAAAGGTTTGTCCCGTTCTGTGGGTATACTATACATTGATACATCAGGATGCATGCATGGCATATCCATCCGCCTGTTCATCCGTCAAGCCATACATCCCTACACCAGTTTTATGCATCCTTACATGCATGCATACACACGGGTGCATGCATAATTGAGTTTACATACACCCGCACATACGTACATACGTACATAAACCAACATACATGCGTAGATGCACACGTGCACATGCATGCATACATTCATATGCAAGTTCATACATACATACCTACCTACCTACCTACCTACCTACCTACCTACCTACCAACCTACCTACCTACCTACCTACCTACCTACCTACCTACCTACCTACCTACATCCATCCATACATACATACATACATACATACATACACATGCATGCATGCATACCTACCTACATACATGCATGCATGCAGGTGTGTGTATATATATGGGTATGTCCAACTTATATATCGGACTAGTTTGTTAGTTTTACATGCATACACATGCATATGCATACATGCAAACAAGCCTATGTATGTATGTATGTATGTATGTATGTATGTATGTATGTATGTATGTATATATATATATACATATACACACACCTGGATCTGCCCGTGCGGACACATAGACTGTGAGCTTTGTTTGTGTGTGCCAGTGTGTCAGCTTGTGTGGCCAACGTGTCAAGCAGTTGTTGCAGTGCAGCTCTTTGCGCTACTATACCTTTGCTATGTCTCGCGCGTCTTCCGTTGTATGAACACACCTTCGTTGCTGGAGGAGGACGCCTGTTTCGCTCCGAAGAATTTACCCAGGCGGTGAATCCGGAAATGCTCCCGTATAAGCTAAATGTCTAGTTAGATATCGAAGCCGCGCAAAAGCGCCGTGAATCACCCCCTGCACCGATTCTGAAGGTTAGCCGTATATGCATATAGTGCTGCAGAGCGATCAAGAAGCCACCCTTCCGCCTTACTCACTCCACAAATGGTTCGGGTGATGGTCTTGGGCGGATACGGCGGCACCGGCCGGCCCGTGTCCCGTCGCCTTGTGGAGCAGCTCCCGTGCGAAGTGGTGGTCGCCGGCCGAGATCTGCGACGTGCCCAGGCCTTCGCCAAGGCGCTTGCGGAGGAGTTCCCGGGCCGGGATGTCACGGGAGCGCGTGTGGACGCTACGGATGCGGCGTCCCTGAAGCCGGCACTCCAATCCATCGATCTGCTCATTGTCACGACAACCACCCCAGATGCGATCCCATCCATCGTGCAAGCTGCGCTTGCGACCAACACAGACACCATCGACGTCATGTTCAAAGCAGATGTGTACGACCGCCTCTCAGAGATGCAATCTGAGATTCTTGCATCTGGGCGCTTGGTCATAACCCAGGCGGGATGTCACCCGGGCCTCGTGGCACCCCTGGTGAAATATGCATCGCAAAGCCTTGCCCAGGTGCACTCTGCGCGTGTCTTCATGGCTTTCGGCTCATTCTTTGATAGCCCCGCCTCAGCTCGAGAACTCATCGAGGAATGTGCCATCTCCTCAGCTCGCGTGCTCGAGGGCGGCACCTGGCGCGATGCGACCTACAAGGACATGGCTCAATGTGGGTTTGGAGGCAGCTTCGGCAACCAAGAGTGCTACCCCCTCCGCATGCTGGAGCTTGAGGCTCTAGACGTTGCAGGCCTCGGCCTCCGGAATGCTGGGTCTTACGCTGCAGGCTTCAACTGGTTTGTTGACTACTTGGTGCTGCCTTTGGCCATGGTGCTTGGGCGACGAAGCGTGGACTGTCTCACAGGGATCTTCAACTGGGGTGTGCGCTTCTTCGGTGCCCGTGGCGACGGTGTGGTCTTCCGCGCAGAGCTCGAGGGCACTTCCCACAAAGGGCAAAGCCAACGCCGCTCCATCGTCACCATCACAAGCCCCGATGCCTACGATTTCACCGCCCTGGCCGTGGTCTCGTGTGTGGCGCAGATCTTAGATGGCTCGATCACTCCGGGGTTCAACCTCATGGGTTCGGTCGTGGACCCAGACCGCACGTTAGGGGATGTCCAGCGCATGGGCGCCACCCTGTCTTGGGAAGACTGAGAGAAGCCACCCCCAAATATAGCGAACTCCCGAAGGCACCCCAAAAGTTGCACAACCCGCTTTTGGATATGCAGTTGGATGGTAAAATTGATACTCATAGGTCCAGAAATCATACTCTAGAGCTCCCCAACAAAGCCTTGCTGCAGTGCTGACGTCTTCTTCGACAGAGCAGTGAGGCCATGCATCATACACATGCACAGCGCCTGAGCACGAGCATTCGACGGGGTCTATGTCATCTGTATGTACGTATGTATATATATATATATATATAATTCTTTAGTTATACAACCTACATATACATACATACATATATATATATATATATCATATGAGTATGCAGCAAGGATGCCGTGTGAAGCCAAAGCCGAATTCTATCAGCAAGCCTCCCTTGCCTTGGATGTTGAAGGTAACTCAGCAGTATTCTTCAGACCGGGGGCGAACACTTATGGCAACCAATCAAACTTTCCAGAATGGAAACCCACAGCCTCGAAGTCTCCTTGATGGTATAGGGGCCTAAACAACTACCTGCCCTAACCCGAACACCGATTATTGGGCGTTGCTTTACAAGGTTCTATTAGACTTTACACGGTTCTCAGCATGGTTCAGGAGCGTAGGAAACATTACCAAACTTGTTCCCTGCGGATCCTGTATAAGAAGTCATACCCCGAATCCTATTCTAGTTATGAAAACTCCCATATTTCTCTAAGGCCTCTGGTACCTCTCCCCGCTTCCCCGCCCTCCCACAAAAGCACGGCTCAGGGCATACTTCGAAGTTTCAGGGTTGAAGGGTTTTGCGATGTAGGATTCAGGGTTTAGGGGTTGAGGGGTGAGTAGTTTTCTAAGTGACGAAACTTGGCGCTTGACAAGTCTCATATCGTCTTGATTCTAGTTTCACACAGCCCGTCGGTACCTGAAGCATGACATGCCCCAAGCCACGCCCGCCAAGGCTCAGAACCTTATTGATATCTCACTCTCCATTCGGGTAGGTCCTAAACCCAAAGCTTGTCCGTAGATTCAACTGGATATCAATCTCCCTCGGGCCAGACGACATGAAAGTCTGCTGCTACAGCTGGGCGGGGGACCGCACCCCTAGCACCGAAGTTCTTGCGGGTAGTAGGACTGCACCGTTCAACGTTTGAGACCCACGTTTTGGGGTTTGGGGTGGGATTCCGGTGGGTCCTTTGCTAATTAGGCCCCGAAAAAAACCTCCCATAAGGAGTTACATGGGTAGTTCTCTAAATTAGGGTCCCTTTTTGGGTCCCCAATACGGCACCGGACCCTAAAAGGGACCCTAATTTAGAGAACTACCCACATGCAGTCATGATGTCGCAACAAGCGAAGGCCTCACAGATGTTGGTATGTAGCCCAAAGGCCCCATGTACCTCTATAGTAGATACTTAGGGCTTAAAGGGGTCCCTATATAGGTTGTTTTAGGCCTAAGTATCTACTATAAAGGTACATGGAGCCCTTGGGTAGCAGCTGCTCAGCTCGGCATGCAACCCGCGTCTTGCAGTGCCATGAATGCTACTCCGACTGGATATTTACTCCTCGCCGGAGGTATCCCTGATCTTCCACATGCTATGTCGGTAGGTTGCATTTATTTGGCCACTCTCTGTCAATCTGTTTATCGCCCAACCTGTCTAATCTGCCTGCGTGCGCTAGTATGCACATATGGAACTTTGAAATTACTAGTTGTATCAACTTTCTTTCTATCTGTTCTTCTCGCTGCTCATCTATCTCTCTAACTATCGACCGATCGAACGAGCCACCGATCGATCGACATGTCTATCTATCTATCTATCTATCTATCTATCTACCTATCTATCTATCTATCTATCTATCTATCTATCTACCTATCCATCTATTTATCCATCTGTGTGTCTATGTTTCTACCTATCTATCTATCTATCCATCCATCTATCTATATATCTAACTATCCATCGATCTATCGATGTATCTATCTATTTAACTATCTACATCTATATCTATCCAGCAATCGATTTATCTATCTATCTAGCTAGCTATCCATCTATCTATATGTATCTATCTATGTATCTATCTATGTCTATATCTGTCTTTCTATCTTCCTATCTATCTGTCTATCAATCTCTCTCTCTCTCTATCTATGTATCTATCTATCTAGCTATCTTTCTTACCATCTATCTACCTATGTGTGTTCAAACATCTTCTACCTGTCTATCTGTCGACCTATCTACCTAGGTAATTGACCGTACTTATCTAGCTGTCTCTCTGCCTGTCTCTCTGCCTGTCTGAATGTATACACTGGCATTTCTGTATGTGCGCATGACTGTCTCTCCGCCTGCCTGTCTGTATGTATGTGTATATATATATATATATATATCTATTTATTTAATTATTTCGGTACATCCTCTTTCATTTATAAGCCCTAAACGCTGAACCTGGAAATCAGGGCAAGTTTAAGCTTCCACCCATCACCGGGAGAGCCAACTTTCAAGTGCGACGAGGAGCTTCGGCGAGTCCTGTTACATCTCCCGCCTCCCCCGGAAGAAGTGCCTCATAACTTTAGGGTTTAGGGTTTAGGGTTTAGGGTTTAGGGCCTCATAACGTGTTCTATGACTGTAAGAAGACTTCGAGTTCGAAGAACCCAGACAACTCTAAACGGAGGACCTCCCCACGCTTGACGATGGCCCTTGCGAAGCTCCGCAGACCAAGCGGTACGAAGCTGCATCTCCCTAATTCCTACCGCAACCTATACCGTAACACCCTAGAATAGAATTTCAGCAAATACTAAAATCAAGTAGGGTTGGGTCGTTTAAGGAACACCTCGGTTCCTTGCATGGCCCTTTTCGGGTCCCAGCGCCAAGGAAGAGCAGGACTCCAAGTACACACATTATACCTACCTTGGGGTGAGTGTAGGGTTTAGGGTTTAAGGTTTAGGGTTTAGGGTTTAGGGGTTTAGGGTTTAGGGTTTAGGGGTTTAGGGTTTAGGGTTTAAGGTTTAGGGTTTAAGGTTTAGGGTTTGGGGTAAAGTCTATAATTCTATGTCGTACCTACTTTGAGCCATTGGGGGTCTTAGGGAAACAGAGTAGGTGCCTTTCTAAGGGGACATATGTGCTGTCAAGGGGCAAGGTTAGAGGCAGGAGCATCTCGGATGATGCGGTCAAGGCTTGGAGCATTGTCAAGAGTTATTTGGGCCGGGCTTCCGGCTTTTGAGCAGGGCTAAGGAAATGGAGTGTTTTATCGAGGTTTGGGGCTGCGGTGGGCGGGAAATAGGTTAATTTCCGGAAGGAACACTGGAAATCCCACCCAATGGTGCTATGGTTGCGCACGGCTGCGCACGGTGGACCCAGAAGGGTGTAAGTAGGCATGACGCTGGCGGAAGCAAGCGCTTCAGCGCTTGAAAGGTCAGGCAGAGAGGGGCCTTGAGCGACCCACAAAAGCTCCGGGGCTGAGAAGGTAACCTCTAACCCTTTGGGGCTTATATGATCCTACTCTAATTCAAAAGGTTAACCTTTTTTGGGCTAGGGTACTGAGCCCCTAAGAAAGCATATCATCTCCAGGATCCCTGCATCATCGGTTTAGGGTTTAGGGGTTTACATAGTTTAGGGGTTGAGGGGTTTAGGGGTTAAGGGGTTTAGGGGTTTAGGGGTTCAGGGGTGTAGGGGTTCAGGGGTTCAGGGTTTGGGGGTTTAGGGGTTCAGGGGTTTAGGGGTTTGAGCTTTAGGGTATCCTACAGGCCCAAACGATTATAGAACCCATGTCCCCTTATAGCCCAAAGTACCCAAGACCTATTGTAATTATAAAGGCAGTTTCTAGTAGCGCTGTCCCCTAAAACTCTAAACCCTAATAACCTAAGCTTTGCACCCTAAACCCCACCTAAAACCCCAAACTCTCAGCCCTCAGAAAATTTGGGTCCATCCAGGTCCCTTTTCTTAGAAATTGCAGTCCGCAGGAAGGGAAGTTCACGGGACTTAGCAAGTAATGTAGGAGAACAGAAGGTCATGCAAAAGGGCTATATATTCAGGGCCTATATATATATATATATATATATACATATATTGGCTGCTATACGGGCTCTGATACGGGTGCCTCAAACATCAAGAATGAGGCTTTCGGTATCTCATGTAGAATAACTATATGTGGGGCTTTAAGGGGACATTGTTGTGAATTATTCCATTCTCTATATTGAGTGTTCTGTTCGACCTACTTACTAAGGCTTTTCCTCCTGGAAGCACACTAGCAGCATGTAGAAAGGAGATGTTGCAAACGATATTGTGGTGAGGATACTTGTGCCAATGTGCTTTTGTGGATTCTTGTTTTCAAGGCCGCGAACTGTGCGCGGGGCGTCTGGTTTGTGAGTCTGCTTTGCAGAAAGATGTTTCCAGACTGGGCGGAATCGCATGACCTTTATGCCAGCATGAGTCAACGAAGCAAAAAGTCGTGCTTGCGTGGGCGGAAGCGCATAAGTCCAACACCCAGAATTTGAGAGTGCGATCTCGAGACCAAAACGCAGCCCTACAGCCCACGTCGCCCTTTGCGAACTTCCGGATCACCGCGAAGTGCCTGCCCTCCCGTTTCCACTCATCCATTGCTGCAGATATGACCACTCCAAGCGAGCGTTGGACTACTTGAGACTCATCACACCCTATAAACCCTAAAACCCTAAACCCTGTGAACTGTGGGCCCCCCGACCTCACCATGAAAGCCTTAGATTCAAACGCCTAACCACCCTAGAGAAGCACTTTTTCTAAAGTAGTTTAGGGTACATTCAGGGTTTATCTCCGCCCCGAGACATACACTAAAGCCGCATCCTATTCCCGTCATTCTAACCCTCGACTAGACCGCCAAGGGTTTAGGGTTTAGGGTTTAGGGTTTAGGGTTTACTGGACTCTGAAGCCTCTCATCTGCAAAATCCCAGCAGGCCCTACATGTCCAAGCACCTGCTTAAATCATGTGGGTAGTCCTCGAGATTTGGTCCCCGTGTTAGGTCCAAAAGCGAGCCGGATCAAAGGCAAGTACACCTTTGCCGGCGCTTTTGAACCCTTCGAAACCGTCACCAAGATCGTAGGAAAGGTCATCCTTTGCACCCTGCAGCCTCAACCAAAAACCCTTAATACCCAAGACGTAAACCCTAAGCCCTGAGCACTGAACTGGGCTTTGGAGAACAATACTTTAACTATTTTGCGGTACTTGTTCCAGGAACCTTTGTGAAATAAAAGTCTATACTTCAAAGCCCAGTGAACCCCAGAGACCTCAACCCTAAGGCCTTGGGGAAGAAACCCCTAAACCCTGAACCCTAAACCCTCAACCCTAAACACTAAGCCCTAAACCCTAAACCCTAAGACCCCAAACCCTAAAACGTAAGACCCTGAACCCTAAACCACAGGACGTTTTCACGAAGCTGCAAGCCCTGAGCTGCACGGAGTTCGACAAGGCGGCTTTAATCTGAGCAAGCAGTGGCTGAGATGCTAGAAATTTTGTTGGGGTTTAGTGTTTAGGGTTTAGGGTTTAGGGTTCGGGTTTAGGGTTTGGTTACGGTTTCGGAGCTTATGTTTCAAGGCTTGACCGGGATTTGGATTCTGTTGTCGGTGCCAGCATATTAAACCCCACAAAACGGAGGTACTTTGGCCCTTAAGTATCTACATAGGGGCTAGTTTAAGGCCAAAGCAAATACTATTTTGGGTGCAAGGACCCTAGAGGCTATGACTTAATTATTCAAGGTTTAGGGCGTGAGGTTTAGAATAGGGTTTCGTGGTATTTTGTACTGTAAGCATTGGCTTCTTTTTGCGGGGGCTCTAACAATTGGAATTGGGGTTTAATTGTTTTGGTTTTTTAAAGGGTTCCTTTTAAGGAATCTGCGAGGGTTATACTGTTATGCTTTTTGGTACTTTCACATAGGGGCAATAATGTTTTGAATAAGGTCCTTTATTATAACGGCTTGCTTTACAGGTTCTCACGGTGGCCTGAGAAAAGAAGACACACCAGACAAGGGTACTACTCACCGTAATACTCACCACCATGACGATGAAGCTGATGATGACAATTGTGGTGTGGACGGTGGTGGTGATGTTGTTGTTGATGATAATGATGACGATTATGATGGTTCCGATGATGGACCCCAGTTTCAGAATAGTTCATAATGGCAACTAAAACAGCAGCAATACTACCGAAGCAACATCACTATTGCTAAGAGCAGCAAAAGCAACAGGACTAATGTAGGGGCCTCAATAATTACCTCTACTATTTTGGGAGGTTCCTGATTATAATTATAGTAGGATATACCCCAAAACCCTATCCTAATTTTTAACCCTAGGCTTCCAAGGGCCCTACAGTTAGGGCCCTAGGCCCCTTAAGGATCCAATATCAAGGTCCCCTGAAAGCAGAGGGTAAGGCCCCTATCTTGTAAAACCCTTTCAGCAGCCCATATAGAACCCTTTAAAGGAGCCTTTGAAAGGCATCCTATTCTAACTATCAAGGCCCCCAGAACTATAGGTTTCTGTCAAGCTTTGCTCGGTTGTTTCATGTTCGTCTCCATGCTCTTTTTTGGTGGGCTGCGGCTTTGTTTCTAGGGTCCACCTGAGGGTTTAGGGTTTAGGGGCGCTGCCGAGGAATCTATCAGGGCATACAGGGTGCAGTTTTAGGGCTCAGTGTTTTGGGGGTGCAGTTTTCGAGGTTTGGTAGGGGCTAGGCAGGTTCATGGCTTAATGCTCAGCTTCCTCTGGACGACCATGCTTGCTTTCGCTGTTGCTTCGGGTTTAGGATTTCAAAGGTTTTAGGAGTTCTTTGGGTTTAGGCTTTCGGGGACAGGGTTGGGGTTGAAAGGGTTTTAGGGGTCTTGGGTGTAGTTTGGGAGTTTAGAGGTTTGGGGTTCTTGGGCTTATAGCGCTGCAAGTGTTACATTGGGCTAGACTTGAGGGCTTTTGGGTTGAGGGGTTCAGGGTCGAGGGTATGTGAGGCTCGCACAGGCCTGAGGTTTTGGATTTTCCGTACAGAGGCGTTAGCCCTAAGCGTCCATGTGCCCAAATGGATAAACATTGGCCTTAAAGTAGTCCCTATAGAAGTGCTTTGGGGCCAATGTATATACTATTTGGGTACATGGTCCCTTAGGGTAGCACCTACAGGTGACGTATTCCTGATGCGGCCTTTCGTCGTGTACCTTTGTTTAGCCCTGAACTGCGCTACCCAACCGACAGCTTGAGTCTCTGCGCTTCTCGGGTCTGTTCTATGCTTTGTTGATTTTGGAGTGTTGGTTCCCCCGTAAGCCTTGACATACGCGATGACATTGCACCCGGAGCCGTGAAAAGCCGTAGGTGTCGGCATTTGGCATCCTAAGGCCTCAAACACCAATCCCACCAGGCCCAGGGCACTGAACTTAAAGTCACAAACGTGAGCTCTGGATGTACCCTACGCCTCAAGACCCAAATGGGGACCATTCTGACTTCGCCCCCGGGTAAAGCTCGTGGTCAGAAGTAACACCCATTTCTTTGAGGTATATCAGGCTCAGGTATAGGGCTTTGGGTTTTTGCGTTTAGGCCACGGTTCAGACCGATGCGAGTGACCCTGTCGACCTTCTCTACACCCTAAACCGCAAACCCTAAACCCCTGACAGGTCTTGATGATGGATCTCGATAAACCCTAAACGGCCCTAAACCCCTGAACCCCAAAGATATATGAAACCTACACCCTTAAAAAGAAAAGCTTGACAGGTCCTGATGATGGATCTCGATATGCTGGTTCGCGGCAACCTGGACGAACTGTTTTACCTGCGTGCAGCACCCAGCGACCTCGGCGTAGAGTCACCTCGAACCCCAGGCTCAAGTTTAGGGTGTAGGATTTAGGCTTTAGGGTTCAGAGTTGCATGATGGTTCATGGGAAGTTGTCGGTAGGTCTATGATACCTCAACATCCTACAATAGTTTCCGATGAACTTGCACAAAGCATCGTCCAATTTTCAGAATGCTGGGTTGTAGCCCCACGCCGACGAAACTTCTTTCTGGCTGAAGCCTCTTGCCTCTATATCGTAGGTTAGGTTCTCCTGGCAACATAGAATCCTCCATCCAAGAAAAAATACTAACACAATGATATTCTTAACCAGCTGTAACTTGCAAGCCATTATGCAGGTAACTGGGCCATGCAGAGGAATCGGCATTGTTATGCCCTTCTGCAAACAGTGCTCGTCTTTGTGGCATAGGATGTAGTAGTATAGAAGCCTGGTTGTATATTGCGGCCTTCTGACACCTCTAGCAGTTCTGGGTTTTCTAGGTTTCTAGCAACCAGAAGTAGCCCATAGATAAGTCTTGTAACACCCCTTGTATCACCCAGGGATCTTATAGTGAACGTTTGAGACATGCAGTAACAGCGCTCTAGATATAGCAACTCTTGTCGTAACCACCCTTATAGTAGCCACTCTGTCTTAGAGTAACCTGTGTAGTGACATTAGATGTAGAATTCCCAGATCGTCCCTACATACCTATTCGTTAACAGACCCAAAAGCCCTCTTCTAATCATTAGTCTCTATGCAAAACTTCATACTGCAAATAAGTCGAAACAAGACGAATACGGGTGCTATTAACAATACTAACAACTCGAATCATGGTAATCCCTAAACCCGAAACCCCTAAACCCTATTACAGTGATGATGGTTGTGGTATTGTTCCATCGTATTATTACTGCCAAGGTGCCCCCGCTGCGTTGAAGCGCTGCTCTGGTGGGGGCCCTGCTGTTATTTTTCCCCTAAGCCCTAAACCCTAGACCCTAAACGCTGATGTTTTTTCCAGGTCACCTTAACAACTAGAACAAGGTTTTGGGGCCCATTATACTATAACTATATCGTAATGAGGACCCCCCCCAAAAAAAAATGGTATTAGTAATTATGTAGGCCCCTACATTATGGTTGGGAGTGCTGAGCCCTAAACCCTAAACCGTAAACCCTAAACCCTGAGCGCCTCATCATGTTATTGTTCAGGTCATGGTTGGGAGTGCTGAGCATTCCGCCCCTGCCCTAAACCCTAACCCCTAATCCCCTAAACCCTAACCCCTAAACCCCAATCCCTTAAACCCAAAACCCTAACCCCTAAACCCCAAACCCCTAAACCCTAGCCCCCAAACCCTAAACCCCCAAAACCCCTAAACCCTAACCCAAAAACCCTAAACCTCCAAAACCCTAAACCCCTAAACCCTAAATCCCTCAAGCCCTAAACCCTAAACCCCTAAACCCTAAACCCCTCAACCCTCAACGCGTAAGCCCCTAAACCCCTAAACCCCTAAACCCCTGAACCCTATACCCGTAAAACCCTAAACCCCTAAACCCTAAACCCCTTAAACCCCTAAACCCCTTAAGCCCTAACCCCTAAACCCCTAAACCCCTAAACCCTAAACCCCTGAACCCTAAACCCGTAAACCCCTAAACCCCTAAACCCCCTAAACCCCTAAACCCCTCAAACCCTAACCCCTAAACCCTAAACCCCTAAACCCTAAACCCCTAAACCCCTAAACCCTAAACCCTAAACCCCTAAACCTGCACTGCCGGACCAAGGAGGCGAGCAGCCGGATCACGGTGGGGATTTTAACTCGGAGGCTTGCCAGGGACTCGCAGGGGTTTGGAGTTTAGAGTTCAGGGTTTAGGGTTTAGGGATTAGGGATTAGGGAGTTCAGGGTTTAGGGTTTAGGGATTAGGGATTGTAGGGTTTAGGGTTTAGGGTTTAGGGATTCTGTAGGGAATCTAGGGTTTAGGGCCTAGGGATTCTAGGGTTTAGGGTTTAGGGATTCTGTAGGGATTCTAGGGTTGAGGGCTTCGGGGTTCTCGGGTTTGGGGTTTCAGGGTTTAGGGTTTTATTGACTCAGTTCTATTCTGGTCCCTTTTGGGGTTCAGGGCTACCGCGGGTGCTGCAAGATTGCTGTAAGGGACCCAATAAGGGAAAGATCGGTGGCGATAGGGGAGCTAGAAACTGTACTTTTGGGTTACTCTACATAAGGTTTTTGTGGGCTGTTCCTCGATTGTTGTTCTTTAGCAGGCCGCTTCCGAAAAGTAGCACGGCGCGCCTGCTGCCGCAGCGTTTGGGTGGTCTTCTTCCTCCGGGCTCTTACAAGAATTTCAAGGGTTTAGGATTTAGGGAGTACGCAAAGCTTCTGCTCCCCAACCCGAAAATGCCGAGCCTGCTGCGGTTTATCTGCGACAGCTGCCTGCAATCCGAATCTCAACCGCACCTTGACCTGAACTGTACAGCCTACACTCCCTTCTACCCATCCAGGCCGAAACTCACAAGACGGCTTCATCTGTCTGTGCGAACCCCAAACCCTAAACCCTAAACCGAAAGCATAGTGTTTCCGAGTCTTTGAAGCAGTGGGGCATAGTCACCTTACTAGGGAGTTCCCACCCTTTTTCAGGCACCCATGAACCCCATGAAGTCTAGCGAAAGTCTAGACCTAAAGACCC